TGCTCGGGACTCTCTGAGGGTACCGACTGCTTCAGTGGATTGAGGAAAGTTCAAATGGAGGCCTCAAGGGCCTATTTATAGGAGAGCATTTAGGCGGGAAACCAATCCACTTGCGTGACACGACCCGCACTGATTCCGAGGCCGGCAGTGGCCGACACGTGGCGAGGGAAGGAATGACAGCTGGCCGGTCGGTTTGGTGGCTGACGGTTGGGCTTTTTCATCCCGTCCCGTTTTTTCCCGGATGGTCAAAAAGGCCCGGGCTGGGGGGCTTTTGGTAGGGAATATCCCGACCGACATAAGCTCCACCACGACCGGATTGCCTTTGTCTTTGTCTTTCTGTCTTTGCAGGTAACAGGTCGGGCTTTTATGAAGAACCCGGTCGGGAATGGCCCGAGCATCGGTGTCGACCGCCGAGCGGTAGCCCTTTGGCAAGAAGAGCTGACAAAAGGACACGTGGCGGCTCTTTACGACGACAGACAGGGCACCCGGGAGGATGACACGTGGTGGCTACGTGGAGGACATGCCGAACGGCTGGAATCCTGTCCCCGGCATAGCGGTTATAAATACCCACAGTAGCTACAGTATAAGGGACTTTTGGACGATCGATAGGTTGTTACTAGAGAATCCCGACCGCAGCCAGTCGGTACTCAGAGCAACCAAGTAGATTGTACTTAGGGCCTTTACCGTGATCAATAAAATATTTTACTTGCTTTAATTGGTCTCGGGTTTATTTTATATTGCTCGCGTAGAATTAGCAGTATCAATATATATATATATATATATATATATATATATATATATATATATATATATATATATATATATATATATATATATATATATATATATATATATATATGGAAGGGTTCAGGTGCGGGTATAGCTTCCCGTGCGATTGTGCGGTTAGATCTGAGCCGTTGATCAAATCTAGATCAACGGCTCAAATCAATGAAAATTAAAAAAAAAATGTGTCTCTGGAAGTAAGAAGTATAAGCTAAAAATGGCGCACCTTAAGTGTTAGATCTTAAGCACAAACTCACGCACATTAAGTACAAAAGTCACGCACATTAAGCACAACCTCACGCACATTAAACACAAAACCCACGCACTTTAAGTATTAACTCACAGACCTTAAGTTTCAACAACTACTGACATTAAGCACAAACTCACGCACATTAAGTACAAAACTCACGCACATTAAGCACAACCCCACGCACATTAAGCACAAAACCCACACACTTTAAGTATTAACTCACAGACCTTAAGTTTCAACAACTACTGACATTAATCACTAACCTCACACACATTAAGCACAAACCCTACGCACATTAAGCACAAACTCCACTCACATTAAGAACAAATCTCACGCACCTTAAGCACAAAAGTCCACACTTTAAGTTTTAACAACTACTCACATTAAGCACAACCCCACGCACATTAAGCACAAAACCCACGCACCTTACGCACAAGACTCATGCATCTTATATACAAAACTCACGCACATTAATCACAGAACTGCTCACCTTAATTTTGACCTAGATGCAAAAATTACAAAATTACCACCGTTTTTTTTTTTTAAATCCTAGATGTTGATTTAAACGAGATGAATGACCTAGATTAAACCGCACAACCGCACATGGGCACCCTAACCGCACCAGAACCTAATTATATATATATATATATATATATATATATATATATATATATATATATATATATATATATATATATATATATATATATATATATATATATATATATATATATATATATATATATATATATAGGGATGCACTCAGGTGCGAATAAGTGCCCCGAAAGGAATATGCGAACGAATCAGCACGCGACACGTGTCCAGATCTAATAGCTTAAAAAATGCGGTGGCATTTTCGTAAATAATTGAACATCGAAGTGCAAGTAAAATCACTTACAAGTGCACCTACTTTCACCTATAAGTGCATGTAATTTTGTCTTGTTAACATTCACTTCCCGCAAACATTCATGCACTTGGGTGCACCTACTTATAACTATAGGTGCACATACTTTCACCTATAAGTGCATGTAATTTTGCCTTGTTAATATTCATTGATCTGAGTTCAGCGGGTAGCAGTGACGGAGCCAGAAATTTGGTTGAGGGGGGAGGGGAGGGGGGGGGGGGGGGGGGGCTAAACAGTACTGACGGATTCAGAAAATTTTTCTAGTAAAGGCGAAACATTAAAACAAAAGAGATAATTTAAAAATAAATAAATAAATTACTTAAGAAATATAGTTGTAAATATTGTTAGATATGGACGAAAAATAAAATACATCAAAACTTTATAAAAATATCCATAACAAAATATGAAACACAATTAATGAATTGTAAAACTATGTTGATACCAAGATTTAAAGTATGAAACACAATTAATGAATTGTAAAACTATGTTAATACCAAGAATTGAACCCTTGACATCACAATTACTAAATATGTGCTCTACCACCTAATCTATCTCACTCTTGTTATCATTTCATATATATATTTTTTAATACTAATACTAAAACATGTACTATATATACATACAAAGACTATATATGGGGTGGGGGGTGGGGTGAGGGGGGGCAGCTGCCCCCCCTTTGGCTCCGTCCCTGGCGCGTAGTAATATCCCTGAAAATCACCCGCAAACATTCATGCACCTAGGTGCAACTACTTATAACTATATGTGCAACTACTCATAACTATAGGTGCAACTACTTATAACTATAGATGCACTTAGTATTGATGCTCAATGTAAATTTTTACTTGCACCTATAATACATTTTACATGCACTTGTAATACATTTTACTTGCACTTCGATGTTCAATTATTTACGAAAATGCCACCGCGCTTTTTTTTTTTAAAAAATTAGTGTTTCTCATCCATTAGATTTGGACACGTGGACGGACAGAATCCATTCCTATTTCGCGCCTGAGCGAAGCATTCACACCTCAGTGTGATTATATATATATATATATATATATATATATATATATATATATATATATATATATATTTATTTATTTATTTATTTATATTGAGGGTATAATAATATAATAATTGCACAATATTAGTATGCTTAACAAATAATTATTATGGTAATTAAGTTACCATAATAATAGTATAATTGTAAGTAAACATGAGTGTTTGATTAATTAGCTTATCAGTTAATTTTGACTTATTTGACAACTATTAGTTATTTGACTTGGTTAAACAATCAATATGAGTGTGTGCCTAATTAGTTTTTTGTAATAACTTATTGCTCCAATATGCTAAAATTCAAAAAGGTGGTTAAAGCAACTTTTTCGATAAGCTTTTTGAGAAAGTCATTTGGCATGTAATAAGCTAATAGCTAGCTAACAGCTAATTTACTAAACACTTTTCTACAATCAGCTAATGTTATCAAGTATTCAAACCAACTAACCCAATTAGCTAACAGCTATTTACCAAACACCCATAGTCATTTACCAATGCTACAAACTCCATTATATCTTTTGGATGCCACAACGCCGTTATTTTTCTGAGAAGGTAAGCATATACATAACTTCAATGACTATTTTCAATGTTTGGGGATCCAGACCTTCTCTTCCTTTGAAAGTTTTATCTCTGGGCAGTCACTCTCCTCCATAACAATAATATAATGCCGTCCTCTCATTTCTCCATGGTCATTTTTCATTTTCTTAGTGTTTCTAATCTTTTCAAAAGATCTTTATCCTATGGTGATTTTGATACAAGCGTTTGTTCTTATGCAGTAGTAATATTTAGTTATATTAGCATTGATGTTATAAAGTTTGAATTATTACTTTATTTCTACTATTTCTCCATATGAAATTACAATTCTTTTTCACTTTAATTAACTCATTGTAATCAATTGTCTTGTTATTTTGTAAAATATTTAAAATATAGGGGACAAAATGATAGGTAAGTACCAATATAACTTCTTTTTATTTAGAAAGGTATATAGTTGTTGTGGTTGTAAAGTTTGTGTGGGGTATTAAAAAAGACTAAGGTTGGTCCAATTAAAGACATAATATTCCTTTTACAAGGAATCTTTTTGTGAGGGAGTGCCTTAATATGTCATTATCATACTTTTCATCTAATCACATATTCACATGTATGCCTTTATATATACTACTATATAAAGTAGATAATATTACTTTATTATGAATTCAAGATTGTTCATCATATTCAATTAGATTATAATCATTAACATAATAACCTCTGCACACTTGGATGGCCCCACAAAGATCGAGAGTTGAAGACACGAAATCGATAATAATAATAATAATAATAATAATAATAATAATAATAATAATAATAATAATAATGAAATGTTATTTGATTTCTAATTTTGACATACTTTGATCTCTAGAGATTCTATATTGTTATATTAGTAGTCTTTTGATAAAATCATGTCAAATTTAAATGCCTAATAGAGGTAATGTTTTTTAAAAGCAGGAGAAACTCGCAACCCGTATTTAAGAGTGTGAACAAAATAAATCCTATATTGTTTTTTAACATTATTTAATATAGTTACATGCTATTTGACTTCAAGGCGATGACACATACATACGTAATTACATATGTACATATGCAAAATGTGAAGCATTTACCACAAATGCGTAAGTGCTCGCAAAGTTAAGGGCATTCACAATAATTTTTTCATTTTCTTCTCAAATTGTGGGTCTAGCTCCTTCAAATCACCCTATAATCTCCTCTCATATTTTCACTCCAATTCTTTTCTCCTTTTCTCTCTTAGTGTGAATCTTACGTATTCAAACTCCTACACATCATCTATTCTTTTATTCACTTTTCTATAATTAACAATTTCAATTTTATAATTATAATTTTAATATTAAATAAAAATAAATTTAAAAATGTTTAAAACAATTAAATAATAATATTTTGTAATACAAGTATTACATTTTCATATTTAATTGATAAGATTCCCTCACACACATTCTTGCCTAAAATGAAAAATGAAAATTGAAAATTGAAAAGACGGAGCAGTAGAATATAGGCGCAAGCGCAAGGAGAGTGTAAATAACCGCAAGCAATTAAAAGCAAAGCAGAGTTGCATCCAAAACCAAAAGTAGGCATGGCCGCTTTTCCCATTGCTAAATGCTAATGCTTGGCTTTTTCTTCTCCGTGATTCTGCATATTCCTTCACTCCGACCCTCTTCTGTACATTTTTGTTTTGGTTTTGGATTTCAAGCGCATTTATCAGAGACCCTCCGCTTTGATCTTTCTCTTCTTGCTCGACTTCATGGGGGTTTCTGCTCTGCTGCATTTTCTCGGCGGTTGAGTTAGGTGCGTTCTCCATCATTAATAATTACTTTCTTCGGCTTGGGTTGGTGAGTGGGTGGGTGGGTTGCCATTCTTGTGATACCAAAATTTATTGCAATGCACTATGATTGTTAATGTTCTAATGCTGTTTGTCTCGTTAGTTTTACCATTTTGTTTTTGCTTTTAATAACAAATTCTTTGATTTTTTTTTTTTTTTTTTTTTTTTTTTTTGGGGCGCAAATGCTTTTGCCTTTTATGCAGCGTTGAAATTAGCTTCTTTAATTGTTGCAAAAGGAGAATATATGTAGTGATTTTTCTTTAGTGTTGGAGCCAGGTAATGACTCTAATTACTTTACAGAGAGTGGAGAAAACCATTGTAAATGGCTCTCAAGAATTGTTACCGGAAGAGAAATTAGAAAAGACGACAAAAGATGTTTAAGAGAGTGTTCCTTTTTGGGCGACAGATGTTTAAGAAAAACAAAATACGGTTGTATTTCTTTTGGAGCTCAGTGAGGGGATCTTGTATGTTCTTCTTGGTTTTTCGCTTTCATTTTCCTCAATTCCCATTTTTTTCCCCACTTTTCTCTTCAAGATTCGATGTTCAAATTGGGAAAAAGAGTCCTCTATGATTTGGAATACGTGGCTCTCTGTCCTTTACAAGAGTTCCAACTTTGCCTGGGATGGGCCAGTTTTATCTTATCTTCAGGACTTCGAATGCCTCTGTGTTGGTTTTGGAGGACCACCCAGTGTTTTGCTTTCAAATTCTTATTTGAATTGATACACCTTTGTCTTCTTGCAGTCATAATCATTCTTGTTTTGCTACAACGATGTCTTCTTGCAGTCATTGTCTTTCTTGTTTTGCTCCAACGATGTCTTCTTGCAGTTATTGTCTTTCTTGTTTTGCTCCGATGATGAAATCAAGTAGTCGTGTATCCAAGAAAGAGTGTTGGACCCCTGTCTGCTTAGCCACCGAGTTACCCTGATTTACATCCTCTTACATGCTCTGTCGGGGTCGGAGTGTGGGGGTCCCAGGGGTTGAGGATTCAACCTTTGGGAGAAGGAGAAAGAGTGTTGGACCCCTGTCTGCTGAGCCACTGAGTTACTGTGATTTACATCCTCTTACATGCTCTGTCAGGGCCGGAGTGTGGGGGTCCTAGGGGTTGAGGATTCAACCTTTGGGAGAAGAAGAAAGAGTGTTGGATTTTAACTTCTCTTTTACTTGTGTGCATTATTGGATGGTAATCTCCAAGTTGAAAAAGATAAAAAGATATGTTTAGAACAAAAGAGGAAAAGAAAGAGTGGGTTTCAAAACGTGGGTCCTTCGGAGTCATTTGTAGCTTCTTATTCCCTTTCTGTGAAAGTCAATTAACATTAGATAGATTAGAGCTGCTAAGATTGAGTATTTGATAATAATATTAGTTGTATTGTCAAGATAATCCACATAAGGATGGGAGTTTGAAAAGCATTCTGGATGAGTGCTCTTGTACTCTGGAAAAGCATTCTGGATGAGAGCCAAATTCATCACATAATGCATTGTACTTTTCTTCAATTCTTCTTCTTTCAGAAAAGTAATAATATATCACATATCTCTCAAACACATTAAACACATCCATTGTACTATCTAATCGCCTAAGAATACTGGGCGCATTCTCTGCTCTCTTTATAACTATTTCAAAGCTTTATCTCTCAGAAAGGAAAAATTCATGTAATAACATTTTGGTTTTGGTTGCAGGTCTTCAATTGCATCTGAATGCAGCAGCTTATGGACTGCCTTTTAGAGGCTGAGAAAAGCTCAAGGGACCAGCAAAGAAAAAAATTGGGGGATACGCTGATCTTTCATGAGCCCGAAGAAGTATCTTGTTCTGACCTTCATGTCGATGCATTAAAAAATGTGGCTGTTATTCCACCAAAATCTGAAAGAGTAGAGAAAAAGAAGCATACTGAAAAGAGGGCATATGACAGTGAAGAGCTTGTCAGACACATGTCAAATCTGCCAAGCTATCTAGAAAGAGGAAAAGTCGTGCAGGAAAAAGCTTTCAATGTTGGTGTCCTTGATTGGAAGCGTCTAGAAAGGTGGCAAAAAAAATACAAGCAAATTCCCGGTCGGAGTTGTGGGTATTCACCATCCAGCAGCAATACCTCTTCACTTTCCTTAGCAGAGGGTTCGTCATCCACGGAAGGTTCTTGTGGAAGTGTCAACTTGCAAGAACTAAACTCTTGTGCAAGAGATTCAGACTTGCAGCATAGTATTAAGAACAGAAGATCACAATATATCAAGGATGATTGCTCGACTTCCATGTCAAAAGGAAAGGTGATGACTTTCAATGGAGAAACTATATTGGAGGGGGACAATGAGTTGCATATCTCATGTTCAAATGATAATGCTGATTTTGACTGCAAACAAAGATGCAAATCAATTGTCCTCATTGTGCCCAAAGATAGACAAGAAAGTAGTAATGGTTTCTCATCTAGCACATCTGACTCAGCAGAGAAATTAAAAGCAACTAGGCAAAGCTTTTACGATGTATCTAATCATCTAGGCAAAAGCCCACCCAGTCCTTCCGGAGGGAAAAATCAGGAGTCCAACAAATCAACTGGGGTGCTAAAACATCCAACTAGAGTCACATCTTGTGATGGGTCGAACCCTATAAAGGAAAATGCAGAAGCTACTAAAGTAAGAAACCCTTCTCCAACCCGTCGGTTTAGAATGGCAATCAGTGGAAAAGGCTGGAGCTCTAATGCAAAAGATATTTCAACTGTACCGTCAAAAGAGAGGGTCGAGGGTGTTGTGTCTATTGATCATACTTGTGACAAATCAAGTGCCAATGGCAGGTCGAAGTCTAGTCCTCTGAGAAGGCTGCTGGACCCATTACTGAAGCCAAGGAAAAGCACTTCTGATCACTTTACTGGATCCTCAGAGGTTGATTCAACTTCTAGGGATAGGCGTTCCAAATCAGCTCCCAGACAAGTAGAATCTCTTACTTCACGATCAATGAAAGTAAAACTTGATTTGAAAGGTTGTAAAACAATAGAAGTTGATAATGCTTGTCCTACTGCAAAGCACAGACCCTTGAGGATGCAAGCTCTTTTTCAAGTAGCTGTGAAGAATGGTGTCCCCCTGTTTAAATTTGCAGTGGAGAATGAAGGTAGCATTTTGGCAGCCACAATGAAGCAGGTGAACTCGCCCACAAAGCAGAAGAACAATTGGATCTATTCATTCTGTACCATCCGTGAAATGAAGAAAAAAGGCGGGAATTGGGCAAATCAGGGAGGCAAAGACAAAAGTCGTGGATATATTTCGAGTGTCATTGCTCAGATGAAGGTTTCTGATGCTCCATTCTCTGTCAGAACCCAGAAGTCTGGCTGTCAATCGAGTATTAGGGAGTTTGTTTTATTTGCCACAGAGACTAAAGAGTCAGGCCAGCAAATATCAGAGCTGCAGCCAACCCATGAGCTTGCAGCCATTGTTGTCAAATTATCCCATGGGAGTACTAGGCATCTCTGTAGGAGTGCCCGGCAGGATCTCAACAGTGCTAGCGCCATAGAGTCAGGTTCAAGAGGGGAAGACTTCAGCATGACTGTTATTCTTCCCGGTGGTAACCATGGATTACCTGGGAAAGGTGAACCTTCTCCACTTATTGAAAGATGGAAGTCGGGTGGGTCATGTGACTGTGGGGGGTGGGATTTGGGCTGCAAACTAAGAGTTCTTGCCAACCATTGTGAGGTGATTAGGGGATCCAGTTCAGCTAACATTCAGTCCACTGCTGGACGATTTGAACTTTTTTATCAGGTAATCACTTGCATACTACAATAGTCATCCACTTCCCCACCCCCCTAACTCGTGAATGCTAGTGACATTCATTTTCAGCTTCTTGTTGAAAAACAAAGAGTTAGGTATATTTATAGGGTTGTGCCTGTTTATATATATATATATATATATATATATATATATATATATATATATAGACTTGCACTCGGGTGCGAACGGCTCGCCCAGGCGCGAAATAAGAATGGATTCTGTTCGTCCACGTGTCCAGATCTAATGGATGAGAAACACTGATTTTTAAAAAAAACGCCGTGGCATTTTCGTAAATAATTGAACATCGAAGTGCAAGTAAAATGTATTACAAGTGCATGTAAAATGTATTATAGGTGCAAGTAAAAATTTACACTGAGCATCAATACTTAGTTGCACTTATAGTTCTAAGTAGTTGCACCTATAGTTCTAAGTAGTTGCACACATAGGTATAAGTAGTTGCATCTAGGTGTATGAATGTTTGCGAGTGGTTTTCAGGAGTATTACTACCCGCTGAACTTAGATCAATGAATGTTAACAAGACAAAATTACATGCACTTATAAGTGAAAGTAGGTGCACCTATAGTTATAAGTAGTTGCACCTATAGTGATAAATAGTTGCACATATAGTTATAAGCACACCCAGGTGCATGAATGGTTGCGGAAAGTGAATGCTAACAAGGCAAAATTACATGCACTTATAGGTGAAAATAGGTGCACTTATAAGAGATTTTACTTGCACTTCGATGTTCAATTATTTACGAAAATGCCACCGCGTTTTTTTTAAGTTATTAGATCTGGACATGTGTCGCGCGCTGATTCGTTCGCATTTCCTTCCTGAGTGCGTCCCCATATATATATATATATATATATATATATATATATATATATATATATATATATATATATATGTACTATGTTTCTTTGTTAGAAACACAGATAATACTAATATATTTCAGTCTTATATACATTTTCTATTCCTTGGCTTCCGCCTAACTGGTGGGTAGTTGTTATTCTCCACCCGCCAGGCCATTCCATCTTCCAAATTCAACACTTCTAACTTTTCGTTGAGGTCACAAGTGCAACATCTAGTTTAAGCTATCGGTTTTGTCTGCTCTTACTTATTTCTACTCTTTTGACAGGGAGATGATCAAGAGAACAAGCCGGTTTTCAGCTTGTGCGCATTCAAGGACGGGATCTTCTCAGTTGAGTACAGCTCATCTCTAACGCTCTTACAAGCATTCTCTATTTGCATATCAATTTTGAATGTAAGAAAACAGGATGGAATTCGTGAAGCGAATAGCTCATGTGCGGAGAATTCTTCTGAAGGCATCATGCCATCAGATTTTCCCAACAAGGCCCAAGTAGAGTTCCCTGATAAGTATATTTCAATTCCACCCATCTCCCCTGTTGGGAGGGTGTAGCTTAAATTTTAACAAGTAGATGGATTGGAACCAAGATTGTACAGATTTTTTTTTTTTTTTTTTTTTTTTTTTTTTTTTTTTTTTTTTTTTGGCATCACCAATAGCCTAAGCTCATCAGCCAATGAAAATAAAAGTTCAGATGGGTGAAAATAAGAATGTTTTATAAGAGCATTGCAGTGCAGATGGTTGTAATCTTTTGTTTCTGTAGAAACTAGAAAGAAGCAGTATCTTAGTTATTCTGAGATGTTTCCCTTTGTTTTTTTAATGATGCGATTAATATTAGGTCTTAAAAATGTGGTAATCTTTGAGCTTTTGTGTGTTCTCATTATTATTACATCATATATGAATATATGATAGCTATAGCTGTTGGATTAGTCTCTCTGATTATAGAAGTATTAGCTTAATATTGCAATTTAGTACGGAGTATTTAATTTTCTAATATTTGAATAGTCTTTTGTTTTGTTTTTTTTTGCATTGTGGATGATCAGGTTGACTTATTCACAGATAAAAACCAATGTATTCTATTAAAAATATTACTCACAGATAAAAATATTTTAAAACTTATTTTCTAAATAGGTATTTTGAGCTTTGTTATTATAGTTAATACAAGTTGAACTTAATCATTTAGTTATATTATAATAAGAGTAAATACCCAAAATGGTCCCCCGACTATAGCTAAATTCACAAATTGGTCCTCAACTTTCAATTTCAATCAATTAAGTCCTTAACTTTGCAATTTTGACACAATTTGGTCCTCAATCTATTTGACCGTTTGTTGGCCGTGATCGACAATCTCCAGAAGAACCTTCAGCTCTCGTCGAAGCACGTGGAGGCCTCCAGGATGACGTTGCACCGGTTCGGAAACACGTCGTCTTCTTCGCTCTGGTATGAACTCAACTACATTGAATCCAAAGGAAGGATGAAGAAAGGCGACCGGATTTGGTAGATTGCTTTCGACATTGGATTTGAATGTAACAGTGCGGTCTGGAAATGCAATCGAAACCTTAAAAAATCGATAATGGACCATGAAATTATATATATATATCCTCAAAAATCACAGTCAACAAACGGTCAAATAGATAGAGGACCAAATTGTGTTAAAATTACAAAGTTAAGGACTTAATTGGTTGAAATTGAAAGTCGAGGACCAATTTGTGAATTTAGCTATAGTCGAGGGACCATTTTGAGTATTCACTCTTATAATAAACTAGTATTTCCACCCGTGCGATGCACGGAATGTAATTGTTGTAATATATTAAAAATATTTAAATTGATATATAATTATTGAGTTAATACCCAAAATTGTCCTCGACTATAGTGGTTTTTCTCAATTTCGTCCTAAACGACTTTGTTGACCTAATATCGTCCCAGACTTTTGTGTTTCGCTCAATTTAGTCCTCCATTTGTTATTTCATCAAATTGGTGTTAAATAAAGGGACAATTCAGTAATGTCAATATTGATCTCTCTTTACTTTCAACATGTGAAGTGCGAAATTCCTCTTTCTTGTATGAATTACACCCAGAATTACTCCCGGACCTGCAAATCAAATTTTATATTCGCAGTTTTAGGAGTAATTCTGGGAGTAATTCGTAAAAGAAAAATGATTTCGCAGTTCACATGTCTATGAGTAAAGAGATGCCAATATTAAAATTACTGAATTGTCTATTTATTTAACACCAAATGGACAGAATAACAAATGATGGACTAAATTGAGCGAAACACAAAAGACTGAGACGATATTAGGTCACCAAAGTCGTTTAGGACGAAATTGAAAAAAACCACTATAGTCGAGGACAACTTTGGGTATTAACTCTATAATTATTTAAGAGTTAACTTCACCAGAGGTCGCTTATCTTTCTTGACAATTCCAAATTTAATCCTAGACTATAGTTATTAATTATTACGATTTATTCTATGTTATAATTCTTACGTTAATATTCTTACTATTATTATTAACACTTAATTACTTTTATATATTATTTTTACCACTTATATTATTATTATTATTATTATTATTATTATTATTATTATTATTATTATTATTATTGATGGTTTTAGGGTTTTCGGGCCCAAGGAGGTCCAACACAACCTTTGGTCGGAGGATACACCTCTCAATAATATCTATGTCTAACTCGGAGATAATCACAGTGCTCAGAAACTCTTTGTTATTTTCCACCCCTCTAGGTGTCCCCCAAATGTCTACCTTTTACAGGAATGGAGGAGCCCTTATATAGTGGCTCCTCCTCTGTCGACTTGAAGGCCCTTAATGGCCGACTTCAAGGCTAATCAAGGTATGGAGCCGTTGGACGCCATTACTCGGCCAACCAACGGCTCTCCTAGGCCTGTAACGGCCCGACCGGGTCCTGCCTTCAATGCTGCAACGACTCTCTTTAAAGGAACCTCTTTAATGCCCTCAACGGCTCCTCGAGCCGGGTCCTTTCCTGGGCTTGGGCCTCGGCCGACTCCTGGACTTGACCTGACTACTCTTTGGGCTTCTCTCGATGCTGGCCCACTTCTATTTTCTTTGGGCCCCTATATCTTGGGCCGGGGTCCTTACCCCATCAACTAGTCCCTCACTTTTCCATACCCGGTCCTCCAATCTGGGTTTGGAAAAGTAGCAGCCACTTGCCTCCTTTAATTACCGTATCCGTGCCCTTAATAGCCTTCGTAACGTCCGAATCATCAGCCATTCTTTCCGGATCTTACGGAGCCGTTGCGATTCTTTCCTCCAGGCTTGGCACCTATAAATGGCCTCCTTCATTCTCTCTTATCCTCACGAGTTCATCATGGGTCACTCTCCCTTAAAAGGGAAGCGAATTGACTTCGGGTCTCCTTGGCGTCCGCTGCCTTCTAAACGGACTCGACCTGAGAGGGGAAGCAAGAAAAAGGCTTCTCGTCCGACTCATCGGAGATCTCCCGCGGGTGCCACCTCCTCAGCCTCTCAACCGCCGACCCCACCTCAGCGAGAAGTCGCGCCGCCTCTGCCTCGTCCGTCGACTCCAGCAACCGCGAGGGTGACTTCTCAAGATGGATCCTTTGTGGAGGTGGCCATCCCTGAGCAATTGACTTTCAAGATGACTTTTTCCATCCCGCTGGACGACCCGGACGGGCCGGTCACGGGTCTTATGGATGACGAGGATTACGCCCGCTACCTGGAGGCGTATCCGGACGATGAGGAACCCATTCCACCGCCGCTCATGCCAGCTTTCTGGGACTCGTTCTGCCCCTCTCCCCCTGGACCATCGGGGGGATTCTTTGGAGGCGACTCCCCTTCGCCTGGCGAGTGACCTTCATGTACCGGGGTCGGTCATATCTCGGAGGAATTCTTTTAGGAGCATATCTATAATTTGTAATAAGCTCCTTGCTGCTTGTACCCTCCCTTTCCGTAATAATAATAAAAGCAATATTTTCATTTTGACTTGTGTTTTGTCGTGTTTTGTTGCGTGCTCATTCGGACGACTAGTCAAGGAGTCGATCACATCGTCAGACTCTTTTCAGTCTGACATCTGCAAGATTCCCCATAGCTTGGGTAAATCAAATCTTTTATGTTGGCGTGCGAATCTCACTTTTCCCGGGCGGATCTGATGGAACTAATCTCTGACAAAGATTCTCATCATCCGTCCAATCCGGCTCAGTTACACCAATCCCCTCCGTAATTATCGCCTAGATATTCGCCTTCCCTGGGCTATATAAAGACCCTTCATGGTTGATGCAAATCGCAATACCTTTCCTTTGGCGAAAGCACGGCGCTATGAGTTACAGAGATGGTGATCGTCGCTGGTCCCTCCGCAACAAGGAGCACGCTCGCCTGGAGCATCTGAGGCAGAAAAGGCTGGCTAACGGAGGTCGTCTGGTGGGCGACTCGGCGTCAGACCCTATCGTGGTGTCTCCGGACATGCTGGACCTGATGTGCAAGGAGTCCATCGATGTGGAGATGGAGCCTGTGGTGGAGGATCCGGGACCAGAGGTCGGGAACCCTGCTCCCGAGGAGGAAGAGGTGTGGGAGGTTCCTCCGCTTTTCGGCGTTGCCATGTCGCCGAGCGCTCTGGAGAGGCCTTTACAAATGATTGACGATGGGAAGCCGGCCGTATATCTGGACGAGATGCCAGAGCCTGAGCCGAGTCCTCTTCCATTCTGCCCCCAGTACTTCCTGGAGGGTCCTCCGGCTGCCCGTTCGTCGACTGAGAATGAAGCCAAGCCATGACTCTGTTTTTCTCTTGTAATTTGCACCGGCCGAGTCCCGGGCCTTGTAATCTTTGTGTCGATTTCAATAAATAGTGTGCTTTTCTTATCCGACCTCGTAATTTCTTATTATTTTGTCTCCCGACCTCGGATCCGTGAGATGGACCCCTAGTCTTGCTATGGCGCGATTCTACTGTCGAGGGAGTCGCCGAGTCTAATCGCCGACTCCACGACCGGAATTTCTTCGTGAACTCGGCCGACATCATTTGCTGAGCTGAGTTCTACCGGGTTGCTTCTAGAAGCTTCCAGCTCGTATCTCGTGGGCCTAGAGGCCGTGGCCCGCTATGGGCTTCCGGTTTAGCAGGCCGGGTCATGTGACGTTCGACCCTAGCCTAGGGCAGACGCGCCGTCTGTGGGCTAACCCTAGGCCTGAACCGTCGCCGCGCCTTTTGAGGCATTAAATGCGGCGTCTCTTCACGTCTCGTCACCTCCAGCCCCTCCAACGAAAAGGTGGCACGTGGCCGCCCTTTGACATTCTTACCCTTCAAATAGCCACTTCGTCTCTTTCCACTCTCTTCTCCGGTCTTCTCCTTTTCAGTTTCAACTTCGAGCTTCTCCGGCCACTCCGTTCCTCCTCCAATTTCCTTCCTGACTTAGGTAATGTCTTCTTCCTCGCATTCTTCCTCTTCTCGTCGTTACTCGGCTGACAACACCGAGGCGACTTCTCCCTCTTCTTCTTCTTCTCCTTCTTCGTCTTCCTCTTCTCCTCCACGTCGTATGGAACTTCCGGCGGTCGTTCCATTGACGTCTTCCCTCCGTCGCACGAAACTTCCCTCGGACGTTCCATCGACATCTTCTCTTCCTCCGACCCCCTCTTCTTCGGGGGCGGTTACTCCGCTGAGCCCCGCTCCTCTGACGACGGTGGCGGCTTTGCCGGGCGGCGTTATACGGCCGCGGGGCAAGTTCGACCCAATCGTCCGCCCCTCCGGGCCACCGTCCATCGCTACTGCGTCGGATCTGGAGATGGCCCGGTACCTTCTTGGGCCCTCGGCCATAGTCCTTGCTCCGGAGGGCCGGCAAATTTACAACCCTCCCGAGGGTTGTGTCGGTATTCATCTGCACTCGGTCGCCTTTGGCTTCCGAGTCCCCCCATGTCCTTTTCTCTCTCTTTTTTACCGCCATTATAACTTGGTCCCGGGCCAATTAGCACCCAATTCTCACCGACTCCTCACCTGCTTCATCAATCTCTGCCACTGGTGGTTGTGCGAGCCAGACCTCGACCTGTTCCGGTATCTTTTTACCGTAAACAAGGTCGGCTCGCACTCGCCGGGCTTCGTTCAAGTCGCCGCTCGCCCAGGGCGACAGCTTTTCGAGGGGTTGTCCGATTCCATCAAGGATTGGAAGCTTCTCTATTTCTTCGTCCGCCCTGCCCTTTCTTCTTTCACTTTTCCGACCCTGTGGCCGGCCGCTCTGTTCAAGCCTTGTCCTCGACGTGCCATTCCTTCCGACGAGGCGGTCTTGGGCGGCGAGTTCTTGAAGGGCTTTGGGCCGTACTCCGTCAAGTACTGGTCCCGAGTCCGGGCCATGGCTAAGCGTGGCTTGCTGCCGGAGGGTGCGGCCACAGTAGGTAGTCTTCGCTATCTCTTACTCCTCTTCTATCTCGCCATATTCCGACTCGGAGCACTTCACACTTTCTCTTCCCTTCTTACAGGTCCATAAGACTCCGACTCTTCCAGCTCCGACGAGGCGTTTGCACCGACTCCCGAGATGGCAGACAGAGCCGAAAAGATGAGGCGTCGGCTGCTCCAACGCTCCTCCGGTACTGCTGCCGCCTCTTCTTCTCTACCGTCTCCAGCTCCCAGGCCGACTCCTACTCCTCCTCAGAACGTGGTGGATCTGACTCCATCACCAGTGGTGTCGCCCACTCGGCAGCCACCTCCCGCTCAGACAGAGAGCTCTGGCTCTAAGCGCCCGGCTGCTCAAACTGACGAGCCGGCTCCAAAAAGGATCCGGCTGTGTCATGAGGTAGAGGAGGATGCCCAGATCTGGATGGGCACCTCCTCTGTCCGTAAGTGGTGTGCTAACGTCCTTCTCCCTAAGGACGTGGAGGCGACTCACGCTCTGGGGGACGGGTACATCCTCGAGGCCTCACTGCGCCAATCGTACCGCGTAAGTATTTTCCACTTGACCTCCTCTTCGTCCTTTTCTTTCATTGCCTGACTTGTGTCTTTTTCGCAGAACCTCACCTTCCAGATGGAGATGAGTAAGCGGCTGCAGAACTATTTGACCGACATGCGGTCTATGTCGAACAAGCTACGTCAGACGGAGGAGGCCTTTTTGGAAGAGCAGGCGAAGCACCTCAAGGTGGTGGAGGTGCACAACTCCGAGATGCTGAGGGTTACTCGCCAGTGGGAGGAGGAACGAAACAAGGTGGCGACGATTGCTACGGCCTCCGTCGAGGAGTACAAGAAGTCGGCCGCCTTCGAGGCGGAGGTGAAGGCGGCGATAGAGGCTCGCCAAAAAGAGATCGCTAAGGAGTGGCTATCGACGCCGGATGACGACGAGTTTCTCCTGGACTTGGGCGAGCGTGACTATCGCCTCGGCTTTCGCGAGGCGCAGACAGAGATCCATGCTGCCTTGATGGTCCGCGACTCCTCTTTCACTCCCGAGAACTGGGGCCTCAAGCCCGTGATAGATGCTCTTCCGGCGACTGAAGGACAGTCGGCGGCTGGGGATCCGGCATCTCTTCCGGCAGCCTCTGATCCGGCGACACTTCCTTCCATGACACCTCCCGAGCTTGCCGAGTCCTCTCTTCCGACCGAGGACCCTTCTTCTGTTCCCCTGACTGGACCAACGGCAGGGGCCCAAGTTGAAGGGATTGATGTTGACACCCCCTCCCCCGTAGTTTAGGGCTGTCCTGTTTTGGGGATAGCCCCCCTTTTGTAAAGGCTGGCCTCCTTTTCGGGCCTTTTTTTTAATGAAATTCCCCTTTTCTCTTCCTTTTCGTATTATCTTGGGCTTGACGCTTCGTACCTTAACCTAGACTCGTTTAACTGCTCACCGAATCCTTCTGTCAAGGTTTTTTGCTCGCAGGCATGACTAAGGGTCCAGGCCCTTGTGTTCCAACTCTCTCTTGCCGAGTCCCTTGGTCGAGGCGACTCTCCAAGGCTTTTCCTTTCTCAGAAACAGTTTAGGGTCAGTGCCCCGTCGTTTCTCTCAATACTCACCGAGTCCCTCAGTCGAGGCGACTCCTGTAGGCTTCTCTCGGAAACGTCTAAGGGTCTGGGCCCTTGTTTCCTATCTCTTCTTGCCGAGTCCCTCGGTCGAGGTGACCCATTAGGCTTTTTCTATCTCAGAAACAGTTTAGGGTCAGTGCCCCGTCGTTTCTCTCAATACTCGCCGAGTCCCTCAGTCGAGGCGACTCCTATAGGCTTCTCTCGGAAACGTCTAAGGGTCTGGGCCCTTGTTTCCTATCTCTTCTTGCCGAGTCCCTCGGTCGAGGTGACCCATTAGGCTTTTTCTATCTCAGAAACAGTTTAGGGTCAGTGCCCCGTCGTTTCTCTCAATACTCGCCGAGTCCCTCAGTCGAGGCGACTCCTATAGGCTTTTTCTCGGAAACGTCTAAGGGTCTGGGCCCTTGTTTCCTATCTCTTCTTGCCGAGTCCCTCGGTCGAGGTGACCCATTAGGCTTTTCCTATCTCAGAAACAGTTTAGGGTCAGTGCCCCGTCGTTTCTCTCAATACTCGCCGAGTCCCTCAGTCGAGGCGACTCCTGTAGGCTTTTTCCCGGAAACGTCTGAGGGTCTGGGCCCTTGTTTCCTATCTCTTCTTGCCGAGTCCCTCGGTCGAGGCGACCCATTAGGCTTTTTCTATCTCAGAAACAGTTTAGGGTCAGTGCCCCGTCGTTTCTCTCAATACTCGCCGAGTCCCTCAGTCGAGGCGACTCCTGTAGGCTTTTTCTCGGAAACGTCTGAGGGTCTGGGCCCTTGTTTCCTATCTCTTCTTGCCGAGTCCCTCGGTCGAGGCGACCCATTAGGCTTTTTCTATCTCAGAAACAGTTTAGGGTCAGTGCCCCGTCGTTTCTCTCAATACTCGCCGAGTCCCTCAGTCGAGGCGACTCCTGTAGGCTTTTTCTCGGAAACGTCTAAGGTTCTGGGCCCTTGTTTCCTATCTCTTCTTGCCGAGTCCCTCGGTCGAGGCGACCCATTAGGCTTTTTCTATCTCAGAAACAGTTTAGGGTCAGTGCCCCATCGTTTCTCTCAATACTCGCCGAGTCCCTCAGTCGAGGCGACTCCTGTAGGCTTTTTCTCGGAAACGTCTAAGGGTCTGGGCCCTTGTTTCCTATCTCTTCTTGCCGAGTCCCTCGGTCGAGGCGACCCATTAGGCTTTTTCTATCTCAGATCAGAAACAGTTTAGGGTCAGTGCCCCGTCGTTTCTCTCAATACTCGCCGAGTCCCTCAGTCGATTAACTGTAACCCATGTGCTTTATTTAGATTTTTGGAATCTTTGAGCACGTACACGGCCTATCCTTTTCTACCGATAGAACCTTTTCAAATGGGTGGCGTTCCATATGCGATCGACGAGCTTGCCTTCCATGGTCTCTAGCTTATAGGTTCCGGTTTGGACCACCGCTGCAATACGGTATGGCCCCTCCCACTTAACTGCAAACTTGCCCCCTTCGGTGGGCTGACTGGCTTGTCGATCGCGTAACACGAGGTCGCCGGCCTGGAAGGTTCGCGGGCGAGTCCTCTGGTCGCGATATCTTTTCACCGCCTGCTGGTACTCGACCATCCGTGCACTCGCGGCTTCCCTCCTTTCTTCGAGGAAGTTTTTCTCGATCCGCAAATTCTCCTCGTTCGTTGCATCCGAGTAGGTGCGAACCCGGTGGGTGGGCTCGACTACTTCGACTGGAACTTTGGCCTCGAAGCCGTATGCGAGCGAGAACGGGCTCTCCCCCGTCGCTCGCCGCTGGGTAGTGCGATAAGCCCATAGGACTCGGTCAAGCTCGTCCGCCCAACTTCCTCAGATGTCTTCGAGCTTCTTCCGGATCCCATCGACCAACGTTCGATTCACATTCTCGACCTGCCCATTGGCTTGTGGGTATGCCACCGAGACCTTGGTGTGCTTGATACCGTGTCGGCGGCAGAAATCAGCGAAGGCCTGGCAGTCAAACTGTCGCCCGTTATCGCTGACGATGTGCTCAGGCAGGCCGAAGCGACATATCACCCTTTTCCATAGAAAACGTCGACATTGGTACTCAGTGATGGTAGCCAATGGTTCTGCCTCGACCCATTTGGTGAAGTAGTCGATAGCCACAACGCAAAACTTCAGGCCTCCCGGAGCGACGGGCAATGGTCCCAACAAGTCTATTCCCCACTTGGCGAAGGGGATGGCAGTGGTGACCGGTGTGTAAAAGGTGGCCGGCCGGGTGTCCTTCCTGGCGAATGCTTGACAAACGCCGCACCTGGACATCCGTTCGATGCAGTCTCGCATCATGGTCGGCCAATAATACCCTTGAACGACTAACTTCCGGGCGAGCGTGTGGGCGCCCTGGTGCGCGGCACAAATGCCTCTATGGGCTTCGTCCATTATTTTATCGGCCTCGGGTCTAAGCAGGCACTTTAGCAAGGGTCCACCGAACGACTGTTTGTATAGCTGCCCGTCGATGATCCGGAAGGAGGGGGCTTTCCGCCGAACTTTCGCGGCGGCTCCCGGGTCTTCCGGTAGCTCGCCTTTTTCTATGAATCGCCGGATGTCCTCTATCCAGAACATTTTGGGATTTTTCCCTCGATCCCATTCCCCGAGATCTATTTGCTGGACTTCCGGTGGTGTCTCTCCAACACTCGGCTGATGTAGCTCCTCCTTCTGACAAGTTTTTATCAGATGGTCCGGTACCCCTTCCAAGGCAATTTTGGACAATAAGTCGGCTTCCGTGTTGTCCGTTCGGGGTATGTACTCTATCTCATAAGCCACGAACCCTTTTAACATCTCGACCGCGCGCTCTTTGTATAGCGCCATCTTTGCATTCTTAGTTTCACATGTGCCCGAGATCTGTCCAACTACCAGTCTGGAGTCAGTCTTGATTCGCAGCCGCTCGACTCCCAGGGCCTTGGCGAGTCGGAGGCCGTTTAATACCGCTTCGTACTCGGCCTCATTATTTGATGTCGAGAACCGATATCTCAGAGCGTAATATAACCGGAATCCTTCCGGAGTGATGAGCATGACACCGCCTCCACAGTGTTGTCGGCTCGACGCTCCGTCCGCTTGCATTTCCCACCACTCGCCTGGGCAGCCCTCCGAGGCGTGTTCTTTTTCCTCCTCACTTGCAGTGCATTCGACCAGGAAGTCGGCTAGGGCCTGACCCTTAATGGAAGGCCGAGGTTGGTACTCAATCCCATACTGAGTCAACTCTACGGCCCACTTTACAAGTCGGCCGGAGGACAAGGGGTTTCTTAGCACGCTTCCGAGCGGCTGATCTGTCAAAACTCGAACGGTATGGGCTTGGAAATAGGGTGCCAGCTTGCGCACGGTAACCACCAACGCATACACAATCTTTTCCACAATGGTGTACCGCGTCTCGGCGGCCTTCAGCGAGCGACTTACGTAATAAACCGGGTGCTGGACTCGGTCATCCTCTCGGACCAATACTGAACTCACTGCTTTGGCTGAGGCCGCGAGGTACAAGAATAAAGGCTCGTCCACCTGGGGGGTAGACAGCACTGGGGGCGTTGAGAGGTACTGTTTCAACTCTTCGAACGATTGCTGGCATTCGGCCGTCCAAGCGAATCCCTCCTTCTTTTTTATAGCTTCGAAGAAAGGTATGGTCTTATCCGCCGCTTTGCTCAAGAAGCGGCTAAGGGCGGCCAATCGGCCGGTCAGCCGTTGTAGGTCCCTGACGGTTGTAGGAGGCTGCATGTCGATGATGGCCTGTACTTTTTCCGGATTCGGCTCGATGCCTCGTTTGGTGACCATGTAGCCCAAGAATTTGCCACCTTGGACGGCGAACGCGCACTTTTTGGGATTCAGCCGAAGGTTGTATTTCATCATTACCTTGAAGCAGTCGGCCAAGTCCTCCGCGTACTTATCCTCCTCCTGGCTCTTGACGAGCATGTCGTCGACGTACGCAGCCATCGATTTCCCAAGCAGATGTTGGAACAACCGGGCGACCATCCGGGTGTACGTAGCCCCGGCATTTTTAAGCCCGAATGGCATGACTCGGTAATAGTAAACTCCGTCCGGTGTCAGGAAGGCGGTCTTCTCCTCGTCCGCCGGGTGCATAAATATTTGGTGGTACCCTCTGAAGGCGTCTATGAAACTCAATAGCGCCGACCCGGCCGTTTCGTCGACTAACTGGTCGATCCGAGGTAGGGGAAACGGGTCTTTCGGACAAGCCTTATTAAGGTCGGTGTAGTCTACGCACATTCTCCACGCCGGGGGTTTGGGCACGAGGACCACATTGGCCAGCCACTCCGGGTACTTAACCTCGCGGACGTGCCCGGCCGCTAGTAGCGTGCCAACCTCCTTCTTTACGAATTCCCTCCGATCGTTGGCTAGGTATCGTTTCTTCTGTACGACCGGTCGGTGCTCCGGATCTACGGCGAGCTTGTGGGATATGATTGATCGGTCGACGCCAGGCATGTCCTCTGGGCCCCAGGCGAAAACCGTCCGGTGCTCCCGGAGCACCTTTACAATTTCTTTTTTCAATGTCTCGGAGAGGCCGACTCCAATTCGGACCCGTCGGTCTGGCCGTGTAGAGTCGATCTCGACTTCCTCCAACTCGACGGCAGGCTCTGGGCGAGGTAGTATCGTCTTCTTAGGGGGCCTCTCAGTGATCTCATGGATCCGCATCTCGCGTTTGCCCATCCCTCTGCATGCCTGCAGATAGCAGTCGCGGGCGACCTTCCGGTCACAGCGCACCGTACCTATTCCATTCGGTGTGCGGAATTTCAGGCAGAGATGCTCAATTGAGATCAAGGCTCCTAAATCCTCAAGACCCGGTCGGCCAAGTATCGCGTTATGCGAGCAGGCCAGGTCTACCACAATAAATTTCATGCTGAGTTGCTGTACGTCCGGGTACGTGCCAATCTCCACTGGGAGTGTGATCGACCCTTCTGTCTCCACCGAGTCCCCTGTGAAGCCGGCGAGAGGGGTTTTGACGGGGTTCAGCTGTTCTCGAGTCAACCCCATTTTAGTGAAGGTTTCTAGATATAGCACGTTGACGCTGCTTCCGGTGTCTACAAGGATTCGCCGAACGACGATGCCGTTGACGTCCATAGCTATAACCAACGCGTCTCGATGCGGTATTTCTCCGGCTGGTAAGTCTCTGTCGGTGAACACGATGGGCTCTCGACACACTTTTTTGGAGTTTTCCTCACGCCCATACACTGTCCCGACGTACAACTGCCGGGCCCAAGCTTTTCTGGTGTTCGCTGAATCACCACCTTCCGGCCCGCCAACTATCATGTTGATAATCGGTTTTTGGCGCCACTGAGCCTCCTCCTCTCCGGAAACTGGCTGTTTGCCTCGACCGCTTTCGGCAACTGCGACGGGTTCCTCATCTCCTCGACTGCCCGGCCTTCGCCTCCACTGGTTAGGAGGCGGAGTTCCTTGCTGGATGATGCCCTCCATGATCTTTTTCAGGTAGAAGCACTCCTCCGTACTGTGGGTATAAGATTTATGATAACGACAATACTTAGCGTTCTTACCCGTTTCCTCGTTTGTCGCGTGGTCGTCGGTCGGCGGAGGCGGAGGCGGGGCAACCGCTTGTACCTCGTGGACCGGACGCTCGGGAATCGGCCGATAGGCGTGGACCACTGGTCGGTCGTACGACCGTCTAACTTCGGGTCGCCGCGCCATGTCCGGGCGCCTTTCTTTGGCTTCCGCTCGCGTTCTCTTTCCGCTGGCAGATCCGCCGACTTCGCGCTGTCGCTTGTACTTCATAGCCTGCTCCGTATTGGCCCTCTTGTTGGCCATATGAATGGCTTCTGCGTAGGTGGCCGGCCGATTGTCCCTCAGGTCTCGGTACAGCTGGCCGGACCGCAGCGACTCAATGAAGAAGGTGAGCGCCGTTTGGTCCTCGACCTCTTCTATGGACTGGATTTCTTTCTGCCAGCGGGCCAGATAGGTTTTCAGAGATTCGCCTTCGTCTTGACGGATGTCACCCAAGTGAGTTAGGTCCTTTTGTGGCTTAATATTAGCGGCGTAATGGCTCATGAAGCGGTCTGCCAGCTCTTCAAAGTTATGAATCGACCCTGAGGGCTGCGCCACCAGCCACCTTTGCGCTGACCCCTTCAACGTGGGTAAAAAAGCACGACACATGACCGGGTCTCGTACCCCTAAAACCTGCATCTTGGCCTGATAGCTCAGCAAATGCTCGCGGGGATCGCCAGTTCCATCGAACGTGGCTTGCTCCGGGAACTTGAAGTCGCTTGGTATCTTAAAAGCCATAACCTCATCTGAGAAGGGTAAGGCGGTCAGCAACGTACGTCCTGGGGATTTGGCTTTTCCCTCCATCCGTTCTCTCAGATTCCGCACTTCCTGTGCTAGGTCAGCCACTTCGACCCTCTCCCGGATGCGATTTCCCGTGGATTCCGTGCTTTCGCCGACTTCAGACTCAGCCAGTTGATCGGGGTTGCGGGAAGGTTGCTCCACGCGACGAGTCTTGGTCCTGGCTCTTTTGGTTCGGCTCTTATCTCGTGCACCCTGTCGGTGGCGAGCGGCTAACGGGGCACGACTGGGCTCCTTCCGGCCTAATCGTTCCCTTGCCGACCGACGCCCACCGCTGGGACCTAGCCGGGAATGAACGGATTGTACCAGTTGGCTTTCAGCCCGTCGGCTCAATTGCCGGTTGTCGGGCCTCTGAGGCGGTTGCGACTCGCGTTGCGGCTGGCGAGTGATGGACTGTTCTCTCATTCCTAGGCTTGCTTCGGCGCAAGCGCGCCCAATCGCGCGCAACTGCTCCGGGGTGAGCAGCACTTGAGGTAATTGCGGGTTTCTCCGCGGCGTCGGCGGCGGTGTCGTCTCGTTTTCTTGGCTCCGAGCATTTCTCCTATTCAGCTGGCTTCTCAGGTCGGCCTCTCGCCCGTTGTCGTGACGGCTCGACTGTTCTTCGCTTCCTGCCATGTCTGGAGCTTTCTGATTCGACTGTTGTTCCTCGGACTCACCTCACTCGAGAGGACACGCGACTCTTCGTTTCGATCCCCACAGACGGCGCCAGTGATGGTTTTAGGGTTTTCGGGCCCAAGGAGGTCCAACACAACCTTTGGTCGGAGGATACACCTCTCAATAATATCTATGTCTAACTCGGAGATAATCACAGTGCTCAGAAACTCTTTGTTATTTTCCACCCCTCTAGGTGTCCCCCAAATGTCTACCTTTTACAGGAATGGAGGAGCCCTTATATAGTGGCTCCTCATCTGTCGACTTGAAGGCCCTTAATGGCCGACTTCAAGGCTAATCAAGGTATGGAGCCGTTGGACGCCATTACTCGGCCAACCAACGGCTCTCCTAGGCCTGTAACGGCCCGACCGGGTCCTGCCTTCAATGCTGCAACGGCTCTCTTTAAAGGAACCTCTTTAATGCCCTCAACGGCTCCTCGAGCCGGGTCCTTTCCTGGGCTTGGGCCTCGGCCGACTCCTGGACTCGACCTGACTACTCTTTGGGCTTCTCTCGATGCTGGCCCACTTCTATTTTCTTTGGGCCCCTATATCTTGGGCCGGGGTCCTTACCCCATCAATTATTATTATTATTAGTTTCTTTTCAAGTTTTGTTAGTATATAATGGCCGTGAGGCACACAATAATAATATAATCATAATTAAATATTCTTGTATTGTATTTTGTGAATCATAATAATAATATAACAATAATAAAATATTCTTCAATTCTATATTCTTCTAGGATTTCTATTACCATCATTAATTATTTCCTAACTTACCATAATTAAATAATTTGACCAATTACAAAGAGAGACTATTAAATAATGCACGGGAAATTTTTTTTTTATTAAAAAATTTAAAAATTCATTAATAAAACATAAGGTTCTCATAGTTTTTTCTTAGAAACTATTTAATAAAGCATATTTTTTTTTAGAAATTGGTGGGCTAAACTGCCTACGGCAGTTTGCAGTGGATAGATTTCGAAAACATACGCGATTTCAAAAAAATATTTGTCCAAAACGGGCCACCGATCCAAGTCAAAAGTTATGCCTTGCCGAACTTTTGGCACTTCACAACTTTAACCCAGAATTATTGTACGAATGAGAAAGTAGAAATCAATATATTTTATTGGGAAGAGAGATTTTTTAAGAATTGGGCGGGAAGTTAAAATTTCAGGATTTTGTTTTTATATATAGTATAGATGTGCAAAGGGAATTGTATTACACTATTTTATAATTTTAGAATAGAACTTTTACCCAGAATTATTGTACGAATGGGGAAGTAGAAATCAATATATTTTATTGGGAAGAGAGATTTTTTTAGGAATTAGGCGGGAAGTTAAAATTTCAGGATTTTGTTTTTATATATAGTATAGATGTGTAAAGGGAATTATATTACACTATTTTATAATTTTAGAATAGAATTTTTACCCAGAATTATTGTACGAATGCGAACGTAGAAATCAATATATTTTATTGGGAAGATATATATATTTTAGGAATTGTGCGGGAAGTTAAAATTTCAGGATTTTATTTTTATATATAGTATAGATGTGCATGTGGAATTGTATTACACTATTTTATAAGTTTAGAATAGAATTTTTATCCGGAATTATTGTACGAATGGGAAAGTAGAAATTAATATATTTTATTGTGAAGAGAGATTTTTAGGAATTGGGCGGGAAGTTAAAATTTTAGGATTTTGTTTTTATATATAGTATAGATAGATGTGAAAGGGAATTGTATTACACTATTTTATAAGTTTAGAATAGAATTTTTATCCAGAATTATTGTACGAATAGGAAAGTAGAAATCAATATATTTTATTGGGAAGAGAGATTTTTAGGAATTGGGCAGGAAGTTAAAATTTCAGGATTTTGTTTTTATATATAGTATAGATGTGCAAAGGGAATTGTATTACACTATTTTATAAGTTTAGAATAGAATTTTTATCCAGAATTATTGTACGAATGGGAAAGTAGAAATCAATATATTTTATTGGGAAGAGAGATTTTTTAGGAATTGGGCGGGAAATTAAAATTTCAGGATTTTGTTTTTATATATAGTATAGATTAGAATTTTAATTACTCACTTGGATGCTGTGCAACTGTCGTGCATGCGTTATTTTAATTAGGAATAAGGGTCAAATAGGTAATCGAACTGCACACGAAAATGTAATTAAGCTATTGAACTCAAAACAGATGTAGTTGAGTCCTGAACAACGCAAAAGGATGCAACTGAGTCAAAAATGATATGTTTACTTGTTAGCTTGTTGATGTGAATGGTATCATATTAAAGTAATAATTTATTTTATTTTATTTTAATAATTTAAAATAACAAAAAAAAAAAAAAGTTTACGGCTTCGTCTCCAGGCTACCAGGGACAAAGAGGTTCTTCGTCTCCGACATGAGGACGAGGAAGGTCCAGGCTGCCAGAGACGAAGACTGGTAATAAAATTTAAATAGTTCATAATTATAAAGTATTTAATAGTTAATAATTTAATAGGTAATACAATAATACATACATTAATACTTAATACTAAAATATTAAATATTAACTTAATTACCTAAAGAGTAATTAAGTTTGGTAGAGGAAAAACGATTTAGGAATTAGACATTTAATAAGGAGAGTAATTTTATCTTTAATTTTATTATCTAAATATATAATAAAAAATATTATTCATGCATCGCATGCACGTGTAATTTACTAGTTAAGTATTAATAGGGTGTTGCTATTTGCACCACCCTTTAGTCAAAAGTGGGTATAAAGTACCTTGGAATTGTAAAAAGGTAACAAATTTCAATAATTATATAGGTGGGTGTAAATAGCCAAATAGGTTGTCAAATTGCTATTTGCACCATCTTGGTCAAACCTCATTAAAATATTAATTAATTAAAACATTTTTTTTCGAAATGAATTAATTAAAACATTAAAAAAAAAAGAGAAGAGTCGATTGCGAGGGGCTGCCTTCTCACCGGAGAAGGCAACCCAGTTTGGAGAACAACAAAAGCGAATTAAGATGAGAGTGTAAATCCGAGCTTCTATCCTCAGCCTCTTGTTTATTAAAGATCGAAATCAAGATAAGGATACATGTTTGGAGAACAGCAAAAGCGACTTAACTGGCTAAATTCGTACCAATCTCCGCGGACGATGCCACAATGATGTAGTATATACGGGTGGTATTGACTACAATTTGGAGTCAATTTGGTCACTTATGAAATGATTGTTTGTACTTAGGTGACTTGATAAGAAAATGATGTTTTGAGTCAAATATTGAACTATTTGATCAAGATTTCAAGTCATCATAGCATGATGATATTTTTGTGAGGTAAAATGAAGAGAAGAAGATTGAACAACACTTTTTCATGTGCCAAATATTTATGCCTTAGTGGTCCTGATGATATAGGCAATTCAATGCAAACGCAAAGCAAAGGATAGTAAGGTGGCATTTCTCACCCAAATTGGCGCTGTCTCAGTATTTTGACCATATCTCAATTTAGGAGTGTCCAAATCAAGTGATTTTTGCTCCATTGAAAAGTCAACTTGAAGGGCTACAACGTAACTTTGATGAATACCACAAGCACAAATTCAAAAGATTCAGGGATGCAAAATAGCCTAGAAGACAGATATTATACACGTGAATTCTGCCTGGCATGGGCACGGGTCTAGGCACACCCGTGCCCAGACCCGTTGTCACAAGGCAGTGTGCCTTAAATTCTGGGCACGGGTATATCCACACCCGTGCCCGTGCCTGTGCTCGTGGCCAACCTTTGTAACTTTTGATAGCACCATTTTGACCCCTTTAAAAGGGATTTTTTTTTTTTTTTTTTTTTTTTTTTTTTTTTTTTTACTTAAAAACATATCTTTCATTTTCCTTTCACTTCCTAGGTAGGGTTAACTTAGAATAACTTAGACTAGTGTAGATTTCTTGTTCCTTTCCATTTCCAAGCTCAAGAACATTGCAAATCTTGAATTTCAAGGCTTCAATACTCAATAGAGAAGTTTTCTTATTCATCTCTTCTCTTTACTTTTCATCAATGCTTTCAATTACTCCTTTAATATTGTGTATCTATTGTTATATTACGAGTAGCTAAGTGTTTAGGGACTTGGATTTGGTTTGATATATTGCTATTGATGGCTATTTGAGTTGTATTGCATAAAAGAGATTATTTGGGTGTTCTAGGGTTTGTTCTGTGAATTGGGTTTGTTGTGAAATTGTGTATAATTGTTGGATTCTAATTATATGCTTTCTTTGGAGTGTGTTTGTTGCTACGAGAGTATAGCTTGTACACT